AAATCTCCCCCTCGCACTAAAATTTCCCCCATAGGTGTGAGGCAAAACTCGCACAGTAGTTAAGAAAAACACCCGTACTCGTTTGGCGTCGCAGTCAAGTCATCTACACCGAACTCGTACGTCACTTCGTCTACGTCGTTACTACTCTACTGCCGAGTTGCTGTCCGAATCGACGCGTCAAGAAAGCTGTTCGTCAATTCATAGCCGCCGTCTCACTCCAAACTCCAGCCATAGATTCAACGTGTTTAATTGTAATTTTTTGTGTCGTAGTTTAAGTAATTGTATCGTAGGGAAAAAACAACTTGACCCGGACGTCAATAAGAATTGCCCTCGAACCCAGCGTAGGTAGTTAGGCCCCGTAGGGACTCGACGTTTAAGTAACGTGTATGTCATTGTAGCTGCGTAGTCGCAGTAGGTAAGGACGGGCTCTGGTCTCCGTAGCCGCTGGGACCCCTTTACGTCGTGCGCCGCCCCCAGTGTCGTGACTTCCGTACGACTCTACCTAAAGGGTCGCGCCTGGTCGGGTGTGCGCGGGTCCTGGCGCGCCCGCGCTGTCGAAGTCTCTCGAAGAACGTCAGGGACGCAGAGTGCACGCGCCCTCGCCTGTCTTCAGTCTACGTGCTGCCGCCGTCGAGTGTAGCCGCTGGCCGTTGCTGTCTGTTGTCGCCACTTGTGCTCCAGTGTTCGTACGTCAACGAATGGTTCCGGGCATGGACGCCCGTCGAAGAACATCGGAGCCGAGCCACGTCATCCCCGCGTAAGAAGCACTTCTGGGTTCGACCCGTGAGTCTAGGTGTAGTAGCCGTATTATGTTGTAGTCGTTTATTCTCATCGTAGTTTCAAGATCATATGAATCTATGGTATATTTTCTTGTAGTGTTTAAATCGTAGCGGTTGATCCGCACCATACTATCTATTTAGTAATATAATTAGTGTGTTCATAGTCAGTATAACGCTCGTAGGCCGGGCCATAAATTCATCGTAGCTAGCTAGTATCGGGACAATAACATCACGGCGTAGTCCTATGGCATTGCAATACGCAGTAGGATATGGCGTACTGCCAGTCGGGGCTGCTCAGGCCTATTAGGTGTCCGCGTGGCATAGTGGCGGGCAGCGAGCGCGGCGTAAGTCCCCGTAGCTACCCTCACGCCGACACCGACGCCGCTCCTTCGCCGGGTGAACCCCGATGCTTATGCGACTAGCGGGGAGCAAGGCGTCCGTGCCGGCGCGACACGGTGCGAGATGTTCGGCTGGTTCGCGTCGCGACCGCACCATAGCCAAGTCTGACATCAACCTTAGGCCGATATCAAAGATTGCCCAAGCGTCGCACCAGCAAATCGAGCTGTGTACCAGTGATAGACTGATGTGACCAGCGCCGTCAACACTGTTGAATGTGACAGGACCCAACTTTTTAAAGGAGGCCCCGTCACTTTCAAACAGTGTGTTCCTCTGAAGTGGACTTCCTCTAAAGGCTGTGCGTCATATGGCGGGCGATTCCAATGCATTGGCGCGCATGATGCCCGTAAATTACGCACATCTTGACTGTGAGTCGGACAACTTGTTTCGTCAACGCATTTGGTCCGTTCCTCTTGCCTTGCATGCAAGCCAGGCCGGAAGCTTTCATCTTTTCGATCTTTAGGACTAATCGAGATCCTTGAGACCTGCAATATTCTGACTGCATCATTACTGAATCTATTAGTTTAGGTGAACGACGAGTTGCCCAGGCCGCTGCGGATATGGGGCAGTTTCGGCTGCGACCATGCCATGGTGTGCGTGCCATTGACCGCCTTTCCTTTAAAGCAACAGTTCAGGGAGGGTCCGAAAATTTCAATGCCACTACTACTGAGGGATACACGAGCCCTAGTGAAGAACATATGCAGTGGAAATAATAAACGAACTTACCTCAGAAACTCAAAAACAGGGTGGAAAGTCCCTCAAACATGGGTGTTCTTGGGGATTTCCCCAATCCCGCCCCCTTGCCGGCCGTCATTGGACGCGTCGGCAATCGTGCTCGTTTTGGGACCACAGGGAAAATTGATTGAAAAATGGAGCGCGTTTACAGCGGGCACGTTCAGACAACTCGTCCAACGTGCGTCTTTATCCATTGCTGAGCGGCAGAGGGAGAGTACCTGTCTAAGACCCTCCCCGACGTTTTTTTCCAGTTTTTCATACATTAATCGTCTGGTTTTCATCTACAACTTCATTATTGGTGGTTTTTTCCCGCGAAACCGTTCCTGAACTGTTGCTTTAAATGTCGTCAGACTCTGCGATTGCATCGCGCGATGCAGTCGCTCTTGCAATGTGCACAAGCGACGGGCGATTGGCATCGCTCCAAAGTGCGAGCGACGGGAGATTTACCCCGCCGACGACCGATACACACGGCGCCGCTCGGGTAAATCTCCCGTCGCTCGCACTTTGGAGCGATGCCAATCGCCCGTCGCTTGTGCACATTGCAAGAGCGACTGCATCGCGCGATGCAATGCAATCGCAGAGTCTGACCGACATCTAAGCCTGAGTCCCGCCAGCTTTCAAGCAGTGCTGAGTCGCTGATCACAGTTGTCTCGATCCACTGGTACACATCTCGATCCGTCTAGTACACAGTTCGATTGCTGGTGCAAAGTCTCGTATCCACGCCATTCCGTTAAAACGAACCGCTGATTTAGCAAAGCCCTTGCCCTAGCACAGCTAAGCCGTGCGATCATAAATGTGGTAGTGACCGGTACACGGCCTGCCAACGGGTGAAATAGTGGAGCTTGACAGCCCTGGCGAGTTCGACATAGCGTTCGGGCGACAGTTAAGCGGAAATGAGGCGAGAGAGGCAGTCAGCTTGATTAAAGCGGACGGTGTTTCGGTACCCGATGTGGGGGCGCCCGACAGGAGGCCCCTCGCTTTGCAAGAAGGCATGATCAGCGGACGAGTCGCAGCGCGTGATGTGCCGATGTAAGACGTACATTCTATTTGACTTGACGCGAAACCACTACAACACGCGCTATAGCTCGTCCGCTGATCCCGCCTTGTTGCCGCAAGACGGTCCTCCTGTCGTGAACCTCTCGGTGGGAAACCATGTGCGAGAGGCGTCAATCTCTAGTAGAGCGATTAACACAATTAGCTGAGTAAACAGAGGACTTCCTTTTTTTGGACTCAAAAATGGCCACAAATGGTGTATAGCACGTGTGATTGGTGAACCGGTGGCACCAGAGTGAACGTAGTATTCGTTTCTTTCCATTGCGCCTTTCTGACAGTAACCCCCTGTGATGTTCTGCACGGTCCCTCCTATATTTTGCTACAAATTTCATCGAGCTAGATTATTTAGCAGTGGGATACCATGCAGGAGTTGCTTTCGACCTTAAGTTTTGCATGCCACTGTAAATACTGGTAATTTCAAAGTGTAGGCATTCCCTTTAGCGAAGCATGCGCTCTCACTTTGAGGCTATCCTTGCTAAAGACAAAAAATCCGTATGGGGCCTTATACGCAGTCGTTGCGTAACACAACGGCCGTTAAATTTCTTTCAGGTCAGCTTGCAACACTGCTATCCCATCCACCCTTTATTTCGGAGAACGACGGTCAAGAGACCCCGCGAGCGCCGCGCCAAAACAAGGTCACCGCGCGCGCGACGTCGCCGCTTTTTGGCCCCCAGACAATACCTAACCATTTGGGCGTGGCCGCGCGAACGCGGCCGAGGCGTTGTGCCGTCGAACCGATTGAAACCGTACCCTCGCCTTCAAACGACCAGAAATTGTGAATTGCCGAAATTGACGTGGCATTGACGTGGCATGTCTTCGTCTCTTCTCTCACGTGTGCTCAAAGATGTTCTTGCATCGATGCCACGTTAATGCCACGTCAATTTCTGCAATTGCAGAATTTCTGGTCGTTTGAAGGCGAGGTTACTCGAGGTGCCCGCGAACTGTGCGGTGCTGAGTTCGCGGGCACCTATCAACTTGGCCGCGTTCGCCGCGGCCGCGCCCAAATGGTTAGGTATTGTCTGGGAGCCCCGCTTTTTTGCAGTTTGAAACATGGCAACTTGCCAAGTTTATGACCCGCCTCTCTAGACGATGTATAGGACGCTTTTTTGTGCCGTCTGTGCATTCCTCATTTCTGCATTTGCTTTAGTAGATTAGTCCTAGCAAATTGCTTTGCCTGAATGAAGGTCTGCATCCGTGCAGCGTACTCGAAGTCGATGTGGAACCTCCCCTAAAGCCATCCACGTGATCGTGGCCACGTGAACTGGGTTCCCGTAACGAAAACAAATTTCGCGTGCGCGGATAAAGTGGAAAGTCCCTCTCTGTCCCAGCGAGCGTACCACACCAGTTTCTGGAATGGAAATGAATAGCATTATCACCGGATATCAGCGCTCATCGTCATGGGGGGGGGGGAAGCAAGGGGAACATTCGAGTAGAAGAGGCCCTTAAACAACTAGATAAAGCCTATGTGAGGAGGAAGGATTCTGGGACGTTAGTGAGCAGCAATTTTTGTTTCTCTCCCTGCGTTTATCATCCTGTTCTGGCTCAGTCGCTGATATCTACTTACCATCGGCCCTGTTTTGTATATATCCTCCCAAGGCCATGAGCTCAACGATATCTTTTGTCCTACTGTCCGTAACCATAGGCACCTCATTCACCTGCTCTTGGGTAGCTATATTGTCGTGACAGATACCTTCTATTTCGGAAAAAGAAGAGCGTCGAGCGCGACCACACATCACAAGTGACGACCCGAGAAAAATGAAAAGAAAGGGCCAACTTTTTCTTGGCCGTCGTCAAAGGTGGTGTGTGGTCTGCACTCGACAATTCTTGTTTTCCGAAATAGAGGTTATATAATTTCAGTCGAATTTCAGGGTTGGCTAGCCGACGGTTCATGTCGTTCTCAAGCTCTGAGCTTAATCATTTAATTTGGAAATATTTGTACGAATCAGGTAGGTATTCATCCGATAATTTTCAATGGACTTTCAAAGAGTTTTGTTGTGGAAAGATTACTACCGAAACTCAATTTCTCTTCTCTCAGGCATGGAACATTCTGCCTTCGTTTTTGGACAAGAATCGAAAGCGGCATACTCCGACCTAGCTCAGTGCGATGTACCAACAGGAGCACTCGTCAGTATCGTGCAGGTTTGATTCCTTCTTTTTCTCCTTCAAGTGAGCGTCAGAGAATACCTGCTGATTGAGTGTGCATTACTCTCAGAATTGCTGAGATCGTGGCATGTCTCAAGTCCTGCCTTTTAACCCTTTGACGACCGTGTGGCCCGCCGGTGGGCCACACTTTCGCTCGGTGGCGACACGTTTTTCGGGGTTTATTTTGGCATTTTTTATGTTTCAAAACTACACAAATACATTATCGAATTCGCGGAATAATGCGCTAATTACTAATAGTGAAATTGTTGGAGAGTTAATGATTATTGATGAAAAAATTTAGAAAGAAGTGAAGTGACGCATTCATAACGGCGGTCGTCAAAGGGTTAATTTGGCGTTCCTACTTTCACAATGTGGGCGATAGATATTGAGCTGAAAGGGGTGGATACCCGTCGAGTAGTAGAATAGGAGTGTGGGAAATTAACATTTTCAATCATATTCAATCTAAAAGAGCGGAAGTGGTGTAGTGGCAAGTGGTACGCTCACCACGAGCGTCCCGGGATCAAACCTGGGTCGCGAGCGCGTCCGCGCGGGATCAAATCCTGGGTCGTGAGTCGCCCGGGCCAACCAAGCCTTCCATCCCTCCGGGGTCGGTTAATTGGTACCAGACTTGTCTGGGGAGGATAAAAACACTGACTTGAACATCGGCTGGCCCCCGCAAGCACTGCGAATGTACAAATGGAAGTAGAATGCGTGCCGCATCCCGAAAAGGGATTGATCAACGGCAAATGCTTTATCCTTTTCCTTATTCATTCTAAATATACAACTTACACCTTTAACGATATCTCCCAATTTCCATGTCTCGCAGTGAATACATATCTTTTCTATTACCACCAGGTCTTCGAACCAAATCAAGGAGCATGAACGCGACCTGACCACGGTCGCTCTATTGTTTGGACCTTAAATGCATTCCAACTTGAGTCGTTCTTTCGCGCCACTTTTGATCTCCGAATAACCAAACCCTAGAGTTATTTGCATCATGCAGTCATATTCATGCTTTTTTGCTGTCTGTTGTTTATATTTTTTTCAGGAAATGAGCTTTGTTTTACATCGATAACTGAGGCGAAAGGCCTTTACGGACGTCCTGACAAAAGTGAAAGGACAAGCGAGACAGTGGTTCCATGTCGCTTATAGATGGAGGTACTATATTATTATCATTAAGTCGAGCTGTTCAGTTTTTCCATCAGGTCAGGAACCGCTTCGGTGCATTGGAAAAGTAACTGCACCTTGTACCTGGCGCCAACATCTTCTCAGCTATTATAGGATAGCAATTTATACTTTGGCGACAGCCCTTGTGCGTTTAGTTGATTTTTTCACAATTTCCGTAACTCCAATAATTGCATTAGAAGTGGTGGGTGCACTGTTTTCCGGTGAAGATAATGCATACAGACAAATTTGGAACATGAGAAAGCCATAATAAACCGAACAAAACGCGCCTAACCCTCGTGAAAATGTGAATGCGCATGCGCACCATGCTGTCATCAGTGTGTTGATTAACCGACAAAGGCATTTATATACTGCGCTGAGACTGGTGCTGGAATTACTTTGCATAATTTAGCCATGTTTTTTCTACTTCTTGCCTTAATCTAGAATTATTGCCGATCTCGACTGCAGGCAGGAAATAATTAACAGTGTTGGAACCATTTTCGCAGACCTTCACTTCCACCTCGATATTTTTCTTCATCATTATCATCTTTGTCTTTTTCCAAGAATGCAGTCGTAATTACCAATTGTGATCTATTCAGCTTCTCATCTACGCAGCCTGGTGCATGACCCTGTAAAGCTACTAACAGGTACAACTTCAACGGCAACATCAAAGGAGGCTGACTCCATTGAACCGGAAGCCCAAGTCTTCTCTTCTTCCTCAAATCCTCCACCGCTGGTCCTTTTTCAACTTTTGATTTTGCTTCTTTTTGTTAATAGTTTGAATAAATTGGATATAGTGAAATCAGTCATTTTTGAGTGGTTCCAAAGTTTTACAAAACTACGTCCTTTTAGGTGATCACAATCGACGACGATCCTTCTCCACCTCGGCGAAAACGAACCACTGGCTTTTGCGTGAGTTTCGTTCATTTTGAAATTGAGCTCCTCTAATGAGTGGCCGATCGAATTTGCCGCGAAGCTGTCGCTACTTTCATGATAGCTACAACTGTTGTTGGTGATGTTGTTGACTCGTCTTATATATGACATTCTGCTCTTGAGTAAATACTGTGAGGTTTGCTTCCTTCATCGAACTATCGCTAGAGGAACTGCTTTCCGACAGCTCGTGCATCTCATCTAGGATTGAAAAAATTGGTTATTACTTTTGGCTTCCTGATCGCAATGATTCTCGAATGATTGCCTGTTTCACTTTTAGCGAGAGGTTCACTCTACAAGAAACGTTTTATTGGTCTGATTTTCCTTGGTGAGGAGCATAGTTTCATCATACTTTTGTTCTCAAAAATTTGTGAAAAAAAAGAAAGCGAGCATTCTCGTGGATAACAATTTATAACTTGTAAATCCGCTTTTTATAGTTCCCTTTTCGATCAGCTCGTTTTTTAGGAGTTCTTGTCAACAGAAATCGCTAAAGCTATAATTCGATCTCCGATGTTGAATATCGAAATGGAATTCTCTCATTCATGCACCAATTTCATGATTAAACCCAAGGAGTGTGTGTCAAACACAAAACCACGTCTAAATATGGCGAACTTTCAACTGCGTTCGTTATACATGAATGGCAGTCGTCTGGTAATTTTGTATAGTATGCACACAGCTTTCGGTGGAACCACATACTTACCACTTCCGACTCTTGCTGGACCTTTTCATGACATAGTGCCTTTAATATTTTCACTTTATACGGCAAATTAGGAATATTTCCTTACTGACTGACCTTCTGGTAGAATTCTCTGCCAGTTGGCACAGCCCTGGAGTGAACGCCAGCGCCAAGCGACAGCGCAAGCGGATTCAACATTCTTACGATTAGGACGGGAAATAAACCCTCAGAAGAAAAACTTGTTGTGGTGAAGAAAGCGCTGTGGAAAAAGGAATGAAATTAGGATCCCTGAGAAAGGAAGCGAGAACTTGCTACTATTTTGTTATTTTTTTACGACCACCAGTCATCTGCACGCAGGTTGGCAAGACGAACCGCTATGTCAAATGGGTCGAACGACATTCATTTTGCAATTACTAATATTATTGAGCACTGTGTTCCGGTCCTTTTAAGTTGACCGAATCTGCGAGGCTGTGAAATAAGGTTTTTTTTTTTGAAGCATTAAGGATCGACGTCCTTTTATGTAGTGCACGTTGGCAAGAAGTGTGACGATTTACTATCAACCGATAGACCGATCCCCGGCGTCCGTAGTGCTGTCTGGGAGCTCTCACACGTGCGAACTATTACAGCATCTTTGCTTTCCTATATTTCTTTCGAAAGGCCCAGTATTAAAACCACACAAACTGTATGCTTTTCCATCTGTATTCCCACTCCCTGATTGACGGAGGCCTTGCAATCCTCAGATAGTCACTATTGTTGGAATGTTTTAGAAATATATACCGAGTTGATATCTGTGATGGCTAAAATTTTAGCGGCGCCTGCAGCACAAGAGAAAAGATCGAGGCGCTCCGACGCCTTATTTGCAGACCCGCTTCTCGCAGCGGTCCGCTGGAGAGCTTGCCTTCTTTGAATTGCTCACCTCACTACACGTCCCTGGAGAAAGGGCACAGAAGAGCCAAATGAGCAGGTAATTTTTTTTTGTACTCTACCATTTCATTCACTAATTTTTTACTTCGATGCATTGCGTCAATAAAAGACCCTTACATTGTGGGAAAGCGCGGCTTGCTCTGAACGATCCCACTTGTTGGTATTGCGTTCCTCCATGACTAATGTACGAATGTGTGACTGTCATGTATTCTGTAAAGTATAGGAATAATCTACTACTAAATGTAATCGGATTGGTCTTGTCTGTTTGTTTGCCTGTCACGAAAACTTGCATTATTTGAGGTCCTTGTGAGAAAAATGTTGTAGACTTACTGGGACAGGGGCCACGATGTACTAACGTAATAAAGTTATACACATCAGCTTAGCGGGTACGCCCACGTTTGACGCCGCATATTCCGAAATGTGCAGTGCCGAAGACGGGAATTTCTATTTTTCTGTTGTTGTCCGAATTTCGTTTTCGAGACAGTCCAGTGACCACTTAGAAAGATGAGGCTATTGTAAGAGGAAAATCCACATCCTGTGGTGGGCGGAGTGTACGTCGAGGTGGGTGGGCTTGACACAAAACCTTATAATTTTGTTTCGGAGACCGTCCAAAGATTGGGGGAAAAGTTCAGAGGCTGTCGAAAAATGGAAGATCAATCGGTGATGGTGGGTAGGGCGTTGTTTCTGGCTAGGCTAGGCTTTTTACAAAATCTGAGAACTCGATTCCGGGGTGCTCTAAAGACAAAATTTGGGAGAATCCAGCAAAGAAGAGAGGGCTATATGCTTGTGTTGGACAGGGTCAAAGCCGAGAATTTCGGTGGACCCGTCCGAGCAGTCGTGTTGTTCATGCCATAGACACGTTGTACAATATGACTTGACTACATACTTCTGCATGCAAATCTTCATACCGCTTCAAGTTGTGTTTTCAGGTAATCACACTGTAATTCCTCGAATGTCGAGCCTTCCTTGGTGAGATTGTCCTTTAATAACTCACTGAATGCAACTCACATTATTATCGCATCCATTCGTTCGTCTGAACAATGCGTAGAGTCCAAATGGACGGTGTATATATTCTTTCTCGCTGTTGTATCAGGATAACACGTAATCCATCTTGTAAATTGACTGGGCTATACTTTCGAAAAATGTTTCCAAAGAGTTTACAAAAAACCATCATTAAAGCGATATGTATAAACATTGTCATCGCATAGTACACGATGTTGTCTACATAATTATCGGAGAAAGAGGGCAGTGAAGTAGCCTCGATGTTGGTACTCGTCGTTTGCATTGCAAACCCTCTATTTCGGAAAACAAGAAGAGCGTCGAATGCATATGTGGTACCCTACGACCCCTGTTTTGGAAACAAGCAATCGGTTTTTCTTTTGTTTCTTCTTCCTATTTCATGCAATAAGACTTCGTCTAGATCACTGAATAGGTATTTGTTCTCAATTTGCTAAATAAGGCTCTTAAAAAAACCTCTGAAGTTAGGCGTCGAGTAAACGTAAAAACATGGCGCGCTTCGTATTGTGTTCAAGTCGCAGGTCTTTAAGTGAAACTGGATATGTAGTTTAGCACAAATGTATCAAGGCATACTATTTTCGCATGTTAATGTAAAATTGCGAGGGCGGAAGTGGTGTAGTGGCAAGTGGCACGCTTACCACGCGCGGTCCGGGATCAAATCCTGGGTCGTGAGTCGCCGGGCCAACCAAGCCTTCCATCCCTCCGGGGTCGGTTAATTGGTACCAGACTTGTCTGGGAGGATAAAAACACTGACTTGTACATCGGCTGGCCCCCGCAAGTCATTGTATAGGCCACATCGCATTCAAACGCCACTACGAATGTACAAATGGAAGTAGAATGCGTGCCGCATCCCAAAAAGGGATTTGATCAACGGCAAATGCTGCTTTATCCTTTTAATTGTAATCGTTAGGCTCAAATTAATACGCTTCTATGTTCGTCCCATCTACAGGAGTACTGAGCTACCTCTACAATTTCTAACAGGATTTCTCAGCGATCCGTCATCACCACAATGCGATCCGCCGCTCATGTTGCATGCGGTATAAGGTACCCGGTGTAGTAAAATTTGAAGGGACATTGCTAAAGACATAACCCACGATTCGATTCACTGGTGTAAACCCTACCGCGAATGAAGCGGCGATCGAGGCCCATAACTGCAGAAGTGATGCCACTTTAACGAAGGGGATCGCTCAAAAGAACCGTCAGCTCGTCGCACGCGTGCTAATCGTGCAGAAAGGGATGTGGTGTTGGCTGCTTTCAGAAAATGGCGGTGTGTAATCGGCCA